TAGACAAGTTCTATAAACCATGTGCGTAGTGCGTACATGTACTGTATACATGAGAGTGTATGCTAGCCTACATGTACATATGTATCTTTTCAGCCCAAAATACAAGTACATGTAAGAAGAGTAAATTGAATTTCCTCAAATTAATTTTTTTTGGGGGGGGGGGGGACTAAATTAAAATACCAGAGCAGGGGAAGAGTGCAGTAAAATGAGTTGTGATTTAAGTCCTGATGCGTCATTTTAAGCAGTAGGAGAGAGATGGAGAAATGGGGTCTAACGTCCACTCGACACAAACTCGGCCTATTTCAGTAATTCGCTTGCATGTGTTAAGTAATAAGAAGCCCTTCCAAATTACAATATTGTGAAAGATGAAATTCTAATAGGAATATCAGTCCAATGATGGTTTGATTCCATTTACAAAGAGATGTAGAGTTGAAATTTTATCGATCTATGTTGCTCGCTATGCCATTTTGTTGTCCACAAAATTTAATGAGAAGCCTGTTTAAAATCTAATTGAATCCAAGCCTGGACATAATATACTGTTGGTATTTTCTATTTTCTTAATTAAATGTACATAATCAATCTCAGTACGTATTAGTGTGGATTACATGTAAGCTGTGAGAAATTTGGTAGTTTAGGTACAAATGCCAATAGCGCATGGTTAATTTAATAGATTTTAATTGAGAATGTATAGGAAAAAGCATATCAAACATTGTTGTGCATAATTATCACTGACAGTCGGAGTTGGAGGGTAAAAACCAGGAGATTTTTTATACGCCCACGTTTTCATGTGGACGTATATTGTCGTCGCCCCTGTCCGTCCGGACGTCCGTCCACAATTGTTTGTGGACACTCTACAGGTCACAATTCTTATCCGATTTTGACGAAACTTGAAATATAGGTTTATCTCCAAAAGATCTTGGTTGCTTTTGATATTGGCATGTATCGGACCAAAACTTCATGGATTATGTCCCCTTATTGTACGAAAAATCACATTTTTAGCTTGTGGACCCTATAGAGGTCACAATTTTTATCTGATTTTGTTAAAACTTAAAATGTAAGTTTATAACCCAAAGATCTCGGTTCCTTTCGATATTCACGCATATCGGTCTGTAACTTCCTGAATTATGACCCCTAATTGTACGAAAAATCTAGTTTTTAGCTTGTGGACCCTATAGCGGTCATAATTTTTTTCCGATTTAAATAAAATGTTGTAGTATATCACCGTTACACCCTAAGGATAGTTGAGTTCGAATTTCGTGAAAATAGGCCCAAAACTGACAGACAAAATGGCCGCCCCTCGTTCTCAAATAGCGTTAAAATATGGTTGTGGATCCTCTAGAGGTCACAATTTTCTTGTGATTTTGATGAAACTTGAAATTCATGGTTATAACCCAAAGATCTTGGTTCTTTTCGATATTCGGGCATATCGGATAGTAACTTCCTGAATTATGGCCCCTGATTGTATGAAATATCATGTTTTTAGCTTGTCCCTCTAGAGATCACAATTATTATCCGATTAAAAAAACGTTCGAATATATCACTGTTACACTGTAATGTTTATTGTGTTCAAATTTTGTGAAAATCAGGCTAAAACTGCCAGGCAAAATGGCCGCCCCACGTACGCAAATAGTGTATGGCATCTGGTATATCAAGCTTGTGGGCCCTCTAGAGGTCATAATTTTTATCCGATTTTGATGAGAGTTGAAATACATGTTTATAACCCAAAGATCTTGGTTCCATTCGATATTTGCGCGTATTGGATCGTAACTTCCTGAATTATGGCCCTTGAATGTACAAAAAATCACACCATAAATGAAGGTTGAATTCGAATTTAGGGAAAATCGAAATGAAACTGCCGACTAAATGGCTGCTCTTTGTACGCAAATTTTGTAAAAGTATGCAATACGAAGGTTGTGGTCTTGTGGACACTCTAGAGGTCACAATTTTTATAATACATTGATGGATTCACTAACCAGTTGTTAGGAAAATTTAAACTCATTGAATATAATCCTCTTGACAGAACATCGAATACACGGAGAGAGAAACAGTAGATAATTTCCAGACAGAATCTCCATTGTCGAATTCCAATGACACGTGACATATCGTTTGGAATTATGTTAATAAACCAGTTCTAAATAATAGCGTTTACCGTTAAGATTTTTTATTTTATACAGTACTGACAGATAGAGGCTTAATTTTAAAAATATTATTGAAGGCTACATGTATATAGTTGTACAGAAGTTTATTTTTTAGCAATTTCAGTTATGGTTGTCATGTGATCATTGTGCCGTTTGTCTATAATCGACGAATGAATAAAAACTTTTGCAAGTTACGTGACTGTTACGTGATGGACAAAGGACTACAAATTGTGTTATGAACAAATGCCACGACGGCATATCAGCTTAGTTTGGCTACGGCATTTTCTCACATGCAATAAACAATAAAAACAATTTTGTTTTTTTGTCAGTATTATTAAGATTCGCGCAGATTGCATATGTTAGAACCCTCTTAGATTCTCACAAAAAATGACGAATTTCTAGCCCTGACTGGTCAAACTCTAAACTCAGTTCCATGAAAATCAGATAAAAATTTGCAAACTGACTGAATGGTTCACCTTTTACTTGATAACGCTGCAAAATATACATGTACATGTATTATATATATAATATAATAATGCAAATCTTTTTGACACTGTCATTGTTACCTCATAGTACATTTTAGTTTTAGTTGACAATATATTTGTTCATATGGAGAAGTGTTCAATCATGTACATGTATGCTGGTGCATTAATTAAATGGTTTTGGATATCATTCTATACATGCCCCATAAATGAAAGTGTCACCAAAATTCTTTTTATTATTAGCACGCAATACACCTGTTCCCATTGGCAACAGATGTTCTTTGAATTTGATTCAATTATTGTTAGTTACAATTATATTATTATCTATGAAATCTATTGATTCGTTAAAACAGGGTAGTGATTTTGTCACAGAACAGAGAGGTCTTACACAAGCTGTTTACTTACATGTTATTGGGTATTTAATGCAAAATTCAAGAAATGAAATGAAATGAAATGAAATGGAGTTCAACGTCTGACTGTTCTGCTCCGAATTGGGCTAATGAAGACGGGCATACGCCATACAGTACAGTGTGCTAGGAGGGAAATTTTGCCCGTACAGCGGCACTATACCCTTCTCTCATATCGAATTCCAACTGTCATGGGATCTTTTACATGTATGCCAATGTGTACACGGGTCCTTGATTTTTTGTCCCATCCGAACGACTAGACAGCTGTCCTTGTCAAACCCTCCGTCCTGTATCACTGACAAGGGGGAACCACGCCGGAACACCTGACCTCCAGGCTAGCAAATTAGCGTCTTACCCACTAAGCCACCGCGTCCCCCAGATATTCAAGAAATATTCACACATATTGCAACCCCTTCACACGTACTAGTCGATTGTGATCAATTAAGTAACGAACGTCAATCAATGGTTGACAAATTGGTAGGGAGGGATAAAACACTTTGCCTAATACTCCCATTTCCCCACACCTGGATGATAGACATTGGATGATCCAATTTGGATCTCTCAGCTTATCTGGGACTTCATTGATCAAATTTGTATGACAAATCGCATATAAGGATATGCAAAGGCTGCCAGATGCAACATAAAAATGTCTCCTAGAGAGAAACGTTAATCATCTGGCAACTAAACTAATTAATTAAAAGACACAGTAAGGTGGGGCTCAAAACTGTCCCAAAGAAGGAAACATTCTGTCCTGCACAAAATTAAAGTAACAACCAAAGCAGGGTGAAGCGCAAAAAAGACCCCACAGAGGGTAACCACCTTACATGTACATGTACGTCTCATTTATTACACTATGTATATGATATTATAAATCAGTTGCTGGTGAACTGTGTGTTAGATAAACAATCTGGGTAAATCAGTTGCTTGTGAACTGTGTGTTATCAATATACAACTGGCGGTAGTTTTTTCTTTGATGTCCATAACAAACTGTCATGACGTCATCATAGGTTGATATATTCGGTTCATATCAACCGCTGATGATGTCATGACAGGTTGATATATCATATATGTAGTTCATATCAACCGCTAATGATGTCATCTCCGGTCGATATATTCGGCTCATATCAACCGCTGATAATCGAAATAATACAAAGAACACAGAAATAAATTTTTATTCTTTTGACAATTAAAAATTGTTATGGTACAGTTTGTAGCATTCAGGACCGAAATAGACGGGCTACTTATCGGCATATTTAAATCGGTTATCCATACTCCATGTCTAAGATATCTTTCAGAATTTTCTTTCCGTCCACAGGTCCACATTTCTATTACATGTATTTCTCCACACACTCCAAGACTTGAAAGTATTTATCGCCCAAGAGTTCCTTTGTAAAGTATTTTTGGGTACAGTCCACTTAAAACAGTCGGTCAAATCCTTTGGATAGATCTTCATCGATATTTGCATTGACATCTATTCCATCGTCAATATGTTGGCTAAAAAGGATTGATTATTCGTCTGACTTCGTATTACTATCCATTTTGTTTTTGCTTTCAATTCAATTACTCCAAAATGGCAACGTATAAACAAAAACATGCACATACATTCATGATTCACATGATTACTTCAGTAATTTTCGCTATTTGGCAGAAACTATCTAGCAATTATCCAATCATTGTTGCCTTTTAATAGAAGAGCCCATTAAATTTAAGCGTTGTATATGTCGGATATAAACCTTCTCTCCCTGGGATTGATATCATAGGTTAATATCCTATACATATCATATCATATACCGGTACAGGTAAACAACCTGGGTAAATCAGCTGCTGGTGACATAAACAACCTGGGTAAATTAGCATGAACTGTGTGTTATCTTGTGTTGTACATTATAAACAACCTGGGTAAATTAGCTGCTTGTGCATATTTTCTGGAAAACTAGATTATAAGAGTTTCATTCTGTTTTGTTTTTTTCTAGATATTTTGCATCTCCACTAGGTCAATATTTGGGACTTAGTTTAACAGGAGAGAACGTAGAGAAACCTACACCAAATATTATTTTAGAAAAATTCTTCCATGATAATAAAAAACCTACAGATGCAGATTTTGTGGTAAAGTATATTTGATTTTTTATTTTGTGCTATAATAAAAGACTATCTGGAGTAATATTTAGTGCAATTCAATCTGTAAAATGATCCTATAGAACAGACAAGTAAATATTTGTTAGAACAGTGCTTTTATTTCAGAATGATTATATGTATTCCAGATGACATAATTTTATGTGTCATCTAACCTAACATTTATATGTATGCCTTATTAAGAAGAATTTACTAAGGTTGCGCAATATTTTAATATTGCTATGATTAATGCAATGCAGAAAAATTAAACAAACTTTGAACTGACTGCTATAGTACAAGTGGCTTAGAATTGAGATTTCATTATACTACCAGTATTATTAAAGTACAATGTACATGTTTATAACCCAAAGATCTTGGTTCCTTTCGATATTGCCGTGTATCGGATTGTATCTTTATGAATTATGGCCCTTGAATGTACAAAAAATCACGTTTTTAGTTTGCGGTTCATGTTGAGGTCACAATTTTTATCTGATTTAAAAAAAAGTTGTGAATACATGTATATGGTCACCATTACGCACTAAGATCTTGGTTCCTTTTGATAATCGCGTATATCCGAACGTAACTTCCTGGATTATGGCTCCTGATTGTTTGAAAAATCACATTTTTAGCGTGCGGATTCTCTAAGGGTCACAATTTTGTTTTCCAATTTTAAAAACCGTTTAAATATATTACCATTCCACCATAATGAAGGTTGAATTCCAATTTAGGGAAAGTCGAAATGAAACTACCCGACAAAATGGCCGCTCTTTGTACGGGAATTATGTAAAAGTATGCTACGAAGGTTTTGGATCCTCTAGAGGTCACAATTTTTATCCGATTTTGATGAAACTTAAACATATCTTTATATCCCAAAGATCTCAGTCCCTTTTAATATTTGCGTATTTCAGACCATAACTTTCTGGATTATTGTCCCTGATTGTACAAAAAATCCTATTTGTTTTTAGCTTGTTCTCTATCCATCTCTTGCAAAATGTGAGTGTATCCTGCCTTCTGGTCTTTAAAATAAAGTGCCTGAAATTAAATAGTTATCTCTAATGCAAATATGTGATAATGAAACAATTTTACTTTCTTTTAATTTGATACAGCAAATCTGTACTGAACTGACTATAGATTAATACATTTTGTCTAGAGCCCCTCTGATTGGTGCAACATTTTATAAACCTCATCATTATTTTATTTCATTGAATTTTGGGGAATCAAAATTTCTTTAAATTGACTAATGGATTATAATTTTAAATATTTAAAATCGGTACAATAAACAGTGTCTAGTACCTCTCTAGAGCACATGTAGTCACTTTTTAGGCCTTTTTTCAGGCATCGTCATTATTTGGTTCATTAATTTTTTGGGTTGTAAAATTTCTTGATTAAGGTGAATTCAACTGCAACAGTGTGATTGATTGATTGGAATTCCTGACGGTATACAGAGTGGGATCTCAGTTTCAAAGCTGGATCTCTTTCTACAGTTGCTGTAGTCATGACTGATTTTCAGAATTTTCAGCACTGACTGATCTTTTTTTCTGGAATATCATTAGCATAGTACTAATACATACAGTACATATAGTACTATTATATATACATGTAGTTTGCTAAATGGCTAAGCAAAGAACATGTAGATTATAATGCTTTGATATTTTTGATAGATATGTCTAGGGTTGTATTGTTCCAAATTAATTATAATTATGTATATGAGGCAAGAGTGATAATGCCTCTTTAATAATCACACGATATCATGTTCTAAAGGTTAATGTTAATAATGTAACGTAATCAGAACATGTACATGTATAGTACATGACATGACTTAGACCTTTGTACCCTTTATTTACCAACAGCCAGACATTGACTTAGCTCTTGTAAAATTGATACCTTGTTTCTTCCCCCGAAGTTCTGGCAAACCTTATGTCATGTAGACATAACATGTAGTTTAAGATTGTATTTTCATTGGATGAAAATCTTATTTATTAAATCTGTAAATTGAAAAGCTATGCAGGCAATTTTGGGACCTATTTCCTAAATGTACATGCAAGAAGAAACAAGGTATCAATTTGACATGGTTTTATGAAACCACGTACATTAGTACTAGTAGGCTAATATTTACACAATCCCTTTCAAATATAATTCCACCAAATTCTAATGAATAAGCTGTGATTGTGTAAGATAAATTGATTTTATTGATTATCCAGGTCATATTTTTATGCACACATGTAATGTAAAATGTATATGGTGTAGTCATGCATGTTCATCTCTCACAATTATTTGTGGAGGCTCTAGAAGCTAAATTTGTAATCTGACTGACCTTACTTATTATTGACCTACATGTACATGTATTAGGTAAACTCAAGAATTGATTGTTAATTATTCATAGCACGCTCTATAAAGTACTACATATATAGGCTTGAAGCATGAATTAGAACCCAAAATCACATTGTATACATATCTAATTTTTTATAGAATTAATAAAGGGATAAGGGTTAAATCTGTCATAGTCACACCTGTGCGATTGTACAAATTTTGAGACTCATCAATGTTTTACATGATTACTCCTGAATAGCTTGATAACCAATTCTAATGTTGATTTAAAGATGGGTTCCCAGAAAAGTATTTATCGGGTGGTTATTTCCAATAAAAGTATGGCAATTTTGGTATATATGTAAAGTAGAGATATCCAATCTTACTAGAAAAATACTGGATTTCCCGTAAAAACACACATGGAGCGTATACAGGACAAAAATGTAAGGGTTCCCCTAATCAACAGCCCGACGATTAGGAACTTCTGCACGCGTGATGTCAAAGGTCACAAGCGAACATTGAGCGCTTGATGTACAAGTTGATAAACTTTATGAATTTGTTATACGTACAATACTTTCTGAGATAAAAATAACGGAAAAAGACGCGGGTAGTGGATAATCCGAGAATTTAATTAGGATTCTATATTTGTAATAAATAGTAAGCGATTAAAGACAACATCGTCTTATGTATGCAATGAATTCTCCTCTGACTCCCAAGACGTGACGTAAACATGACCTGGTTTGATCGAATTTTAATAGCAGGGCATTCCTTTGCAATTACAATGTTTTAGAAGGATTTGAAGCATAATTGACAAATTGATTAGTTTGAATATGTTTTTGGCCCATATACACCATTAAATCACCCAGTTTGTACGCGGGAACCCATCTTTAAACTGACAAATAATTTGGGATTTCAATGTCAAAGACTTTGGATGATTTTGAGTTAGATACTTACCTACTTTAAATTGTGTTCTCAAGCTCTGGTTTGGCAACAATCTATTGAAATTTGCTATTACATATGGGATCTGTCAGCTTTAGCTACATTATCTTTGAGTGGCTTTTAGCAATCTGGAAACACATTAACAGAACACAGTTTTTATGGAAAGCAATCACTAGTTTTATTCTAAAAGCACGATGTTTCGACAAGTATCCTCTAATCGTTATGAAGCACAATGACATTTAGTAAACTTGAGGTCAATATATATGAAATATATTTCATTTAAAAATAGTTTCAACTTTTTCAGGCCTCGGGGGGGGTCCATATTTAGGGTATCAATTTAGGCTGTCCCAGGGTCAAAATCGTCTTTTATGGGCAATTTTGTACTCTGTGAGATGTACTCTTTCATTTAAAATTGATTTTGACCAGTACCCTGCATGTATGAGTATAAGCCATTTCTGGCCCCCTTCGGCTTTGGGGTATCACAGTCTGGGCCATCCCAGGGGTCTAATCGTCTGTTATGGGCAATTTCAAACTCGTTGCGAAATATTCTTTCATTTAAAATTAGTTTTAACTGGTAGTTTTTTTAAACCCTCTGGGGTCCATATTTAGGTGTCAGTTTGGGCCATCCCAAAGTCAAATTTGTCTGTTATGGTGAATTTCGTACTCAGTGATATGTACTCTTTCATTTTAAATTGGTTTCGACAGGTACATCGAATGTACTAGTGGTCGCTCGAGTTATGGCCCTTGTTTCACTTTGTTCAATCTTGTGAATGCTGTAATGCCAAAAGTTATAATTTGATCTCTATGAAATTTATATGTATCATCTAAATTAGTGAAACGAAGGACCCTATTGAATTTCATCAATTTCAGTTATGGCCTCTGTTTTACTTTGTTGAACCATGTGAACGCTCGACCGCCAAAAGTTAAGTGTACCATTCTATCTGTATGTAATTTATATCATTTAAAATAGTAAAACGAAGAAACCTAATTGAAATTCGCAATTTTCGTTAATTACTTCTAGAATTAATGCCGTTGTTTCAGTTTGTAGAACCATGTGAACCCTAAAACGATGAAAATTATGATCTGATCTGTATGAAATTTTCTTGTAAATGCCCCCCATTACCTACAAAAGAATACATATGCGACAACCCTTGTCGACCGCTCGGACGATTTGGGGGGATCACGTGGCTAAGTGGGTAAGACGCTGGCTCGCTAGCCTGGAGGTCGGGTGTTCGATCCCTGCATTGGCCGAGAAAGTTCATCCAGATTTTCCGGCATTGTTCCCCCTTGTCAGTGATGCAGGACGGAGGGCCGGACAAGGACAGCTGTTTAGTCCCTTGGATGAGATGAAAAACCGAGGTCCCGTATATATATAGGAATGCACGTAAAGGATCCCCTGGCAGTTGTAATTCGATATAAGAGTAGGCGTTAGTGCCGCTGCCCGTGCAAAATTTCCCTCATAGCACACTGTATGTCGTATGCCCGTCTTCATTAGCCCAGTATGGGAGTAGGACGTTAAACCCCATTTCATTTCATTTCGGACGATTTGGCTGCTGTGGGAGTATGTTTCATTGCCTGGCAAACTCTCTTTGTACTGGTTCTTCAGTATTAAAACCAAGACAACTATCAATTTATTAAAACAACAATATCAGTTTATTAAAACACCACTTTTTTCAAAATCAGATTGGTCCGAGTGGTCTTCAAAAAAAAAAAAAAAATGAATTAAACAATTATAATTATCACTTTATTTGTTGGTCCAAGTTGTCTTCTAATCTTGGTCCAAGTGGTCTTCTATTAATTTTTTTGTTGGTCCAAGTGGTCCTCTTACCTTGGTCCAAGTTGTCTTCTAATCTTGGTTCAAGGGGTCTTCTATTTTGGTCCGAGCGTTCTTTAAGTGTTCTTCTATCTTGGTCCAAGTTGTCTGGATACCGTCGCCGGATGTTGATGGAGACTATCCGCGGGAATAAAACCTTACATTATCTAAATTGTTTTTATGTACCTCTTGTCTCATTGTGTTCATTATCGCTATCAGTATGTTTGGAGATGGACATGTATTAAGTATGCAACATTTTTAAACTCACGCACTATTTCGTAAACGTGAAGGACTGGATCGTTTACCTCTTATTTTTCAGGCTTTGCAAAAACAGACTGATTCTACAAGACGTCAAATAGAACGATGGTTTCGTAACCGCAGAAATCAAGACAGAACAAAAACTCTTCATAAATTTACGGAAAGCAGGTATATCTACTGTTCCATAAGTAGAATTTTGTACATGTAAATAAAATTTGCTCTAAATAGTCTAGTTGAGCAATCTTTTGATTCATCAGAAACTTTTTGCATTCCGACTCCCCTGCGATTTCTAGCATGGTGAAATTGTACCTTCTTTTTTTTTTCAAATAAAATCTATAGTTTTTCTAAACTTTTGATTTGTATTTGGCTGGGATTTTTTTTATTTCTGAGTTTGTTGTCCGCCATTTTGATTTTTATAGGAGCTACTCTCTATTATATTTACAATATCTAAATCCACAAAGTATACAACAACCTTTTGTTTATGTATTTGAAAATGGTTGTTTTATTAACCATGTCCTATTATTTGTATATAAAGATCGAAAGTCTGTAGCTTACCCTACTGAAAAGTGAATGTACGAAACTAACGGAAAACACAAGTGCTGTCGATTGGGCTATTTATAGTAAACCCAGTGTACTACTAAACAGCGTCCACTGCAGTATTATTTTTTTCAACTAAATCAGGGTACATTACATGATATATAATGTATATTGATGTATATACATCGATTCAACAATGCATGTACATGTATATCGTGCCTGCTGCCAGCATTAATGCACACTACGTGTATGATATAAACATGTGACTTTAGGGTGTGTTTGTACTACACAGTCTATCTCAATCTGAACCCCCTTCTTATGTCCATTTTAAGGAATACACGTAGATGTAAATGGTATTAGGCTAAAGACAATTCCTATCAATTTTTAAGTGTGTTCAGAAAAGTACTTTCAGGGTTATTGCTTTTGAGATATGATTGTTCTTTAAAATATATTACCCTATTGACCAGTTTGTTATAGTACAGGCCCCTTCAAAAAACACAGAGGAAAACATGACACAAAGAGTTTTAATACACTGTGGATGATGAAGCTGCTGGTTACCTTGTTGAGAAATATTCTCTGTCACACAAAGTGTAAACTTGTACTACATGAGTACATGTATCTTTTTAATTAATGCAGTCCTTAGAAATAATATGACCTTTTTCCACAAATATACATGCAGTCATGTTGCCTGTGGAATGAAAGTAAATTACTGCTCATTTTCTCCTTGATATAAGTTAGATTATTACATTTAGTCAGCTCTTTGACACACAAATTATACTCTTTGTTTTTCAGTTGGCGTTTTATTTTTTATTTACTTATTTTTTGGTATGGAGTGGTTGTTCTTCATAATGTAAGTTTTTTTTTTCTAACATACCCACTGCAGGAACACTACACAACAAAAAATAGACCCAAAATTTGTAACAATGTATCAACGGCTGACATAAAAACTATACATGTATGGTGAAAGTTAATCCTAAGATATTGATACGGTACTGATGAATGAAGATGAATTTACCTCCTTAAGACTCGGCCACAGATTCCGTATCCATATCCGCATTTTATGTTATGAACAGATGTATCAGACCATTTAGTCCTTTTAAATTGGAAAATTGGGATATCTTTACATTGAGCATGAAAAACCATTACTAAATGTTGAAATTATCAGTTCTTTAAATATTTAAATGTTAATTTTGTTTGTATTTTTTATTATTTAGAAACCCTGGGTTTGGGATAGAAAGTTAACTTTTCAAGGATGGCCATATCATGTAAGTTCTGTTTTGTTATAATCAAAAGAAATTTAATTCAATTGTATTAGGTGTGATTTTTTTACACCCACATGCTGTCAGTCTGCAACAGTTTTTAAAAACAACTGCAAAAGTTGTTCAAGGGAGAGAGGAAAAAGAAGAGAAATTGCAGGTTTCAACACTAAGAAGCAAAATGTAAGATATAGAATGGGACTCCCAAACAATGCGAGTTCTAGACCATTGCAATATGCTGAAATCTGCTATGAAAATAATTTGCTCATATTATATTTTGAATAATTTTTTTCAGCATGTGACCAATGATATATTCTGGTATTATGCCATAGAAGCTGGTTTTTATGTTTCTTTACTGATATCAGTATTTTCAGATGTCAGACGGAAGGTAAGATGATGCTCTTAAATTATAAAGATGATATTAGCAATTTGTGGCTGATAATAAAAACAATAAGTTTGATTTGCATTCTTTCCTTTGTTTTCATTTTGTATATTTATTGCCAGTAAGCAGTGAGTTCATATAGCCTATGTATTTTTGCATATTTGACTTCTTCTGCTGAACCAGAATTCAACCAAATTTGGTAGATATGGCTATGTTAGTGCTTATTCAGATATGTTGAAAGTTGAATTGCCCCAAAGAAGTGTCGAAAGAGACACCTTTTGAAAGAGGAAATTTAGATATTTTCTGTTTCTTCTTCTAAAACTACTGGATAAATTTTAGTGTTGAAAATCAGATCGAGATTTGTGATCCGAATACTTTTGTTGGCTATCCGAATACTATTCGGATAATTCAAAGACGTGAAATTCTTGAACAAAATTACATCAAAAGTTCATATACCGGTACTCATAATTTCTTACTTGTTTCAATGTTTATGAGTGTCTGTGTATGCCGAGTATGAAATCATACTTTCGATTTGCAAATTGTTTGAGCCGCGAAGAAAAAAACGTGCCTACCTTTAGCCGTAATTATTAAGGCTATCTATGACATCCCAAAAAATCAATGAGTATAACTACTCCTGTTATTCGCACCCTCCCACTTATCATTTTGCTCAATCAACACGAATGAAAAAAGTAAATTAAAAACATGTGCCATTTATTCTGCCAAGGTCGTTTGCCTCATTCTGATAATCTACTACTATTGAACCAATCAGTGAGTGGGAATATACGTGACCTAGGTCATTATGAATAAATTTCATTGTGGGAATCCAAAACACGGTCTAAACTTGTACATGTATAGTAGTTTCAACACTAAATTTTAAAAAATTTGGTTTAGTAGTTGCTTGGCAGATACTTATTCAGATTTGATACAAAATAGTCACTGGATTTGTCAAGCCCGACCTTCACTAGTTAGATGTGGGGCTTCATAGGGCTGACACTCAGTTTATTCGAAAATCTAAGGTCCAGACATGTACACATTTTGTTCATTAAGAACGTTTGACAGGTGAAAATTGTTGAAAAGTAGGCAAGTTGTTGTCATTATGATTGCAAACCTTGAGAGGATGATCCCTACAACATTTGTTCCAGAGTTATTCTCTTTTGTCATTCTGATATGAAAATTTCTTATCTTGTGAACACGATAGAGGCTAGAGTTTTTAAAGGTTTTTTTTTTTTTTTTTCAAACTTGGTATGAAACATAGACAGCATAAGAAGATGACCCCTTTTAATTGAGGTAGAATGGTTAAACTTGATGTAGATGTTCATTAGGTGAATGTCTTGACTGAGTTCAATGATTAACATTTCGAGCTGAAGCTAAGCAGAACTAATCATTTTCATTGGTCGATACTTTGGGACAAGATAATCTTTATTCTTTCTGGTAGAGAGGGGTGGAACTTAGTGTACAGTTTGATTGTTCGATACTTTTGAAAAAAATAAATGTGCGATTAATTAATATGTGTCATTATTTATTTTGGGATTTCGGCGGGGGACATCAGCCTCACTGTTGGCTTGTCCTTTTTGGAGTTACTGCCCTTGTCATCCCGACATCACAGTTTCTCATCAACATGACAGTGGCTAGAGTTCTGGACAGATTTTTTTCAAATTTGATGATTTCAAACCTTGAGAGGATGTTTTTCAAATTTGGTATTATGAGAGGACAGACCTTATTGATATTGAGCATCAAATGACTTTCTGTTTTAGCGCTAACCCCATTCAAACTTCTTGTTAACCTGATATATATATATATATAGAGGCTACAGATTTGTTTCAAAATTGGTCAGGAGAGTTGGAGTCATGAGAAGATGAATATTGATTTTCAACACTATGTGACCTCAACTCGAGTCTTTAGAGATGAGCTGCAGTTGAGACATAGCTGCTGTGTGGGCATAATTCTATGCTTTGCACCGCTATCTTTTATTTCTTCTACCAGACAACTTGATGTATTTCAACCAAATTTCGACTTCTTGCCCTAAGCCAGTTTGGTGGGTACATATATTTATGTTGCCAAGTTTGTGCTTATTCAGAATTCTTCAAATCGAGTTGATTTAAATGTTTTCAACTTTTCCATCTGAACCTCTCGATAGATTTCATCAAAATGATAGATGTGTACCTTGGGTGATGATTACCGCTATTCTGATTGGCTCTTGCTGAAAATGTACATGTACATGTATGAACATTGTCTATATTGTTTTACCAAACAAATAAAGAAATTGTTAGTTAGGGTGTATGTTTTTTTTTTCAGGATTTTTGGGAAATGGTTGTTCATCACCTCTGTACACTTGGTTTAATGTTTACGTCATATAGTGGCAGTCTGTTGCGAGTAGGCGCCCTTGTTCTTGTAGTTCATGATGCAGTGGATTATTGGTTAGAGGTATGTAACAAATTAAAAGGTCACTAAATTATTTCAGGAGAACCTAAAAGATACAGTACGGAGATTGACCGTTGACCAAAGGTTGACCAAACACGATTATCGTGTCGTTTTTTGTTGAAAATTGACACGATAACGCCACGATATTGCCACGATAAATAACCCTGTGGAGCAGTTGCTATCGTGTGCCACGATAGTCGCGTGACACGATAGGTCTCGGTGTAATTTGATATGAAAAATCAACGATTTTTTTCAGTCATAAACAATTGATGTCAAAAAGATATACTGCCACGATGTTAACAAACTGCCACGATATTTGAAATGTTGAATAGTTTCGTCAATAATCCTGACGCGAAAACCCACACTGTATAGAAAGAATGTACATATGCGGTTATATTTCAACGGAGTCACGTAAAGCGGCATGTCTAGTGAAGGAAATGTATGCATAGTTTTACAGAACGACTTCATTACATTTTCAACATTTATACTGAGTTCGTTTTTTATACGCCCACATGGAAATGTGGTCGTATATTGCCGTCGTCCCCGTCCGTCGTCCACAATTTCTTGTGAACACACTACAGACTACATTTATCATCTGATTGTTTTGAAATTGATATATGTTGTTTGCATTAGTGAGATGAAGAATCCTATTTAATTTCAATAGCTTCCGTTAATTTCTTCTTGAGTTATGACCCTTGTTTCACTTTGTTGCACCTTGTGAATGCTCTAACAACAAAAGTTATCAACCGATCTGTATGAAATTTATATGCCTCATTTAAATTAATAAAACAAAGAAGCCTATTGAATTTCAGCAATTTCCGTTAATTACGCCGTGAGTTAAGGCCCTTGTTTCACATTGTTGTACCTTGTGAATGCTCTAACGACAAAAGTTATTGTCCGATCTGTATGAAATTTATATGTATCGATTGAATTAGTAAAACGAACAAGCCTATTGAGTTTCAGCAAATTTCCGTTAATTACATCTAGAGTTATGGCCCTTGTTTAACTTTGTTGAATCCTGTGAACGCTTGAACGACAAATGTTATCACCTAATCTGTATGAAATTCATATGCATCATTTAAATTAGTGAAATGAAGAAGTATAGAATGTCAGCAGTTTCCATTAAATACTTATGGCCCTTATTTTACTTTGTTGAACCTTGTGAACGTTATCATCGGATCTGTATGAAATTTATATGCATTATTTGAATTAGTAAAACGAAAAAGCCTGTTCATTTGCAACAATTTCAGTAGATTACTTCCAGAGTTATGGCCCTTGTTTTAGTTTTTAGAACCTTGTGAACCCTCAAATGACGAAAATTATAATGTCTATTAAATTCCCCTAACCCAATCTTGGGCGAGATATCAAATTTGTTTGATTTTTTAATATGATGTCTAAAATGTCACGAAATTGAAGTTTTAGTAGTTTAAAATCAGTTAAATTTTAAAAATCTGTTAATTTTGGTCATTTCAAAGGCTGTCCCAAAAATGGGACGCTGCCCACAAGAGGGTACATGTTTTAATAAAAATATAAACAATAGCACTGGAAATTATAATGACGGTTTAACAAAGAAACAACTAGTTTTTATTTAGATCAGGTAATTTATTTCATTTCTAATTATATTTGTATAAAATATCAAATGTTAAATAATGTAAAATCCCATGTAGGCTAAAGTCCCATTTTGCTGTATATTTTACTAAATCGCTTTAAACGGCGTTAAAAAATTACAGGTGACGGAAAATTCTTCTGGTTTATTCAGACATATTCTCCTACTTAATTTATTCTGGGGGTTGAATAAAAATATCGGCACCATTTAAGTCGTCCTCGTCATCCAATATCCGATCCAAGGTTTCATTTATACGGAAGCGTATAGGGGTCATGCAAAATTTTGTAGAAGGCCTCGAGATCCTGCGATCCTGTGATAACGATCTCGAGAATTGGAGTTAATGTTCTCGGGATCTTGCCATCCTGTGTAAATTTTCTCGAGATCTCGGGTAATTTCATGTGTGTGCGTAGTTTTAACGTATTCTCAGCGCCCCACAACCTGTTGTTTCGGAGTTTACACACACACACACACGTACACACACTTTCCCGAAAACCTTAATAGCTCAGAAGAGCCTACAGTTTTTAACGATTTTGTTTCAAATTTTGTGTTTTAACGGATTTTCGATTTTAGATCCTTATACAATTTATTAAACAACCAAGTTTTCCTTTCGAATAATCTGCTGTTGATGCATAGATGCTGCGTGGGCGTATCTCCACACTTTGCGTGACTATCGTTCAAATTTCTTTTGAATCATTAGTGTCACAAGCAGAGGAACCCTTATTGATTTGCAGCGCTCCCTGAAGTTTTGTTATGGCGTTATTCCTATTTTCCGGTAAACCTTGTGAACGCGTTAGAACCCAGAGTTTTTCAAGATTTTTTATTTAAAATCTGCTCCGAAGCATTTGTGCCGCAAGACAATAAACTCTCTGTCTAGCTTTATTCTAAAACAAAATATGGTCCGAAAACCATGCAGAATATAACATTTTCAATTAAACGTCGCCCACACATTAAATTGAAATAATTTAACAAGCAAGTCTGTAATTCAAAGCTTTACACATTAAAGCTAACGTGGTAGGGTTTGAATTTCATATTTGGTGGGAAGTATTGGGGCTATAAGACGATGAACCCAATCGATTTTAATCATATTTAAAATTTAGTGTAAATCATGGGTGTCCTATCGATTGTCAGTATATTCTTTCATTAGTTAGCAGTTTTCCTTTGTAACAAATGTTAGAGTATATTTGTTTTATCAAATTTGGTGCGAAGTATTGGGACAATGGTTGCTTCACAACGTGGATACACTATCATATAAGGTTTCATATCAACTCGGGATCTCAGAAAATTTACATAGAATGTCAATATCTCGAGAAAATTAACTCAAATTCTCGAGAAAAGATACACAGGATGTCAGTATCTCAGGAAAATTATCAGAGGATTTCGAGAACTGAGATCTCGAGAAAATTACCAGGTGATCACGGGATTTCGAGAAAGTATCACAGGATCGCAGGATCTCGAGATCTTCTACAAAATTTTGCATGACCCCTATACGCCTCCGTACATTTACACTCAGTAACCTATAAAAATTCATGTAAAATTATACAAAACACTATCTGTGCTGTAAAATTGAAAAATTTCACTATTCGGAACTTAGCATGTACAAAATGGCAAATGTGAAAAACATGCCCTTTAATGGGCAGCGTCCCAAAAATGGGACGGACTTTATTCAGCTCACTAAAAGTAATCTATTTTGATTATTCTTGCACAAAGTCATATTTGAGAATCTAGAACACATAACCTTTAATATGATCGTAAAATTTTGCCGAAATATATACTGTAAAAGGATTACTGACCTTTGACCCTTTTGACTTTTGCATTTTGCAGGCTGTGTCATTACGGACGCCATCTTGGAAGGGGAGGTAACTCCATGAGACTTTTTTTCTAGTCAATGTCAATTAGGCTCTTTATGTATTATACTAATACTGTTACTTTAATAATATCTTGATTTTCTTTGTTTTAATTTTGATTTGTAGGGTCGTCCCCAAAAAGGGGATAATATGCGACAACCTTTGTCGACTCCTCAGACGATTTAGCTGCTGTGGGCGTATGTTTTGTTGTCTGGCAACCTATTTGTTGGGTTTATTCCGTTTTTTGTGTATACACTTTTTTACTGTATTAAAGTATGATAGTTAAAAATTGCTGTAGAATCACGGCACACGATATATTTTTAAATTGCAAACTACAAAACTATTTTGTTGATCAATCTTGATGGTAGTATATTCGAGTGCGGTTTCAAGTTAGGCATAAGGTCGTACTTAACGCAAAATGAAATGAAATGAACGCATCACAGGTCTACGATCTACTTGAATATTTGTTGATTGGATCCGCTTCCAAATCCACGCAATGATTCTGGGCACTCATTTTATGTTAAAAGAAAAATGTATTTCAATTGAAGGACCTATTCGTCATGAACTTTTTGTTTAAAAATTGTACATCGAATACATTCGTGCATGTTACAGTTGGTCTTTTCTGCTCTTTTCAGTAAAATTACTTTTTAACCTTTGTTGATCACCTTGTCTTGTATCTATTACTATTCAACTTACTTAATTTTTTAAAATCACACCAGTATTCGATTCATTCTTTGATTTTTTATCGTTTTTATTAATTATATTTTCTAATATTGGCTTGTATTGGAAACCAAACTAACCCGAAACGAATATATAACAAATGTCATTGCATCATCAGGGATCCGCCTATTATGCTAATCAAAATATAAATCGCTTAATGACACATGATGTGTATTCTCAGGTGGACGTCTGCGAAAAGTAATAATGCAGCAGACATTAATACATGATCAAATCCACTGTGTGGTTTATAATAGCGTTGGTTAAAAAAGGCGCAATCGTGGCTGGTTGGGAGACGACATGTCTACGCATCAAAGAACATTGTCTTGAAAGAATCGTGCAGCCAGGCTTGTTGGCTATTTTTACATTTGTAATAGCGAGAGTTCAAAGAATGATTGGCAACTTACGTTCTTTTGGAGCCAATCACATACAAATTACTTGTGTTCTGTACTAACAACTCTCAGCAATGTAAATTATGTGAGGTGATATTAACCATCGCCAAATATTTTAAATCATGAGATAACGTCAATCAACAAACAATACGAGTTTACTTTATTACAAAAACATTGGTGAACTTATCATTATGTCTAAAATCATAAAGCTAATCAACAATCAATACTATTGCTCTTTATTACAAAAACATCAGTGAACTTATCTCGGTCATGATCGGTTTGCCAAGATAATTGATTATTGGGTAAATAAAACAATATAAACAACTGATTTACTCCATACAATTAAATTATTAAATATTAGATGTGGACAACATAACCAATACCCCCCTGTGGACGACTTAACTGCATACGTGTTTACTTGTGGACGAGTTTACTGACACCCGT